TTACCCAATAAAACTTTTGATTTAAAAAAATATAATCAAAACAATCATAAAAACCTACTTTTAAGGTGTTATATAATATTTTTGCGAATGCCATCTGTCCAATTAAACGCACGTAGATATAATTTACGCAATTTTAACCAAGACACAATAAATAATATTCCTGCCTATGTAAGAAGCAGTATAGCGCAACACAGCATATGTGTAAAGTAAATATGAAGAAATTATGTCAAGGTATTATACACCCCGCTACATATGTCTTTTAGCGCTAAGAACGAAAGGAATACATAGGTATATCTCGCCCTTGTTTATTTAAGATTTTTGTGTATAAGTGATACATCTCGCTGTGGTTCATATACGATCTCTCTATATAAACCTCATAGGAATCTGAATCAGAGAGAAACCTGTTACATATTGTTTCAGGCGATTTTCCCATTTCCTCATTTTCCGTCTTTTGAAAATCCGGAAATCGATTATGTCCCGGATGAGTCATCCGGAATGACCCACTTTTTTCCCAGACAACAGACGTTTTTGTTTTGTTGCTTATTGACCAACTTTTCGTTAGGACGAGTTTTTGCCAAATAAATGTCAGATGTTTGTTGATGTAAAATATACAAATATTTTATTTCAAAATATACAAAACCAAAAGAACATACTATTTCGCAAAGTTATGCAAGTAACGGTATTTTTAAAATGTTTACACTATAAACTGTAAAGCATCTTTGTCGGAATGTTACAAATTTATGCAAGGTGTACAACCATTAAAATACACTGGGCAACAAAAATACTTTTTTTGAATTAGGGTTAAGTTTTTTTGAACAATATTCGCACACAATATTTTATTCAACTACCGCAAGAAATTTAAATTTAATTTCATTTGATATTTTAACTGACATCTGACAACTGTCAAGCTGTTTTAACCTCACTTTTTCAACTTAAAGCCAACTTCAGACCATGGGTGTTGAATAATAAATAGTATATTGTGCGACTCTTTTGACCAATAGTCGCACACAAGATTTTATTCAACAACCTCAATGAAATTAAAGCCAATTTTATTTGAAATTTTATCCGACATCCAACAGCTTTTAACCTCACTTTTTTACGATTTTTACGATTGTTATACATTAATAACTACCTAAATTTGTAAATTGCAATTTATTTAATTTATGTTCTAAAGAAAATTCGAAGGCATTAAAAATCACATTAATTATAATTAACATTAGTCAAGTTGATAAGAATCCATTTCATGGAAATTGATATGCAGATAAGAACAAATATATTTGGTTTAGGTTACAAAATGTAAGGTTAACAGAACTAAAACATAATAAGGTTTTATTATCAAAAAAAAAACTCTCACGCTATTTTCGGCAAAAATCCCCTTTTTCTTTGATAAATTAAATTTGGCGCATACTTATAGTTAACAATTTTTCGTGGTATAACGGTTCGGTGGTCCAGTTTTAAGAGACCCAGTTTCGTGCATGAATATATTTTTTGGTCGATTTTTATATTCGACTCTCCTCTGGTACTCGGCTTTGAAACGACAAGATAAGCGGTGAAAGTTAAAAGAAATAAATTACACCGATACCGACAAACTAAAAAAAAAGAAATAAAAACTGCTGGCTCGACATAAAAACGGGATTTTGTGACTTAACCACAAAAACAACCTGTATCAAATTGCAGTTTACTTTTTAACGTACTTTCGTAGGTGGATTAAATCAAATGTTTAGAACATTTGGCAACACCGTGTAGGCGCTTACACACTTAATAAAATCCCATAAACCTTGAATTTGCTTTAATATTTTTAATGAAACATTTTGCAACGTTAAAAAATGAGTCAATACCTAGGAGTAAAATGGCAGCTTCTTAACCACCAAAACGCGACAACCTGTTAAAAAGAGAGGTAAACATAATATAAATGTTAAAGAATTTGACGCATTATTTGCAAAACAGAAATCGAATCGAAATTGATAGAAATATGAACAACAACGGTGGCTTGGCGTAAATGAAACACGGCCGCCTTATGGCGAAACCGATTTTATTATGGTTATGGTAGAGTTGATTTTACTTTCTTGCCCGCTTGCCAGACACTTTTAAATAATTCACCGTTATTTATTAAAATTATTGTTAATATTAATATCAGTTGTTGAAAGGTAAAAGCGAGTTCAATTAGTGCGAATTTTTTAACATTTATACACTAAGTAAATGGCAATTGTGTGTTGCCTATTTGCAAACAAAGCGTATTCTATATTTAACACGTTTAGGACATTTTAGTAAGCTGAAAGATACATAGTTTTAAAACGTTGTTTGTAACATTACTGTTAAGTTTTTAGACAATATAGATTATACCTACTAGAAGTTTTAGTCTAAAACCAAGGCAGTTTTAAGAGAATGCGACATTTTAGACAGTATACCTATATGCATACATCTTAATTTTGATTTATTAATATTTAGCACTTTCCTTTTTAAAACAGATTTAAAACAATTAAAGGGCATAATCTTGTTATGCACTTCTAAAATAGTTTTGGGATATTTTAGTAAGACATATAACTATAGTCTAAATCTAAAAACAATTTTATGACAATTTAAGGAGTACAAAAATTTTTTAGGACATTTTAGACAGGTTTAGTAAACTTTGAGACAATTTTGGACAGTTATAATATGAGTTTGGAGTATTATTAAAAAGTTTTTAAGCCGTTTAAGACACATTACATTTGATGGTTTTTGGACAATTTAGATAATAGGTACTAAAACAGTTTTAAAAAAAGTAGTTTAATTAATTTAATTTTTGTAATATACAAAATACAATCTTAAAAATTAAAAATACAGGTTAAATAAAAAATCTATTTTATCTATTTTGCGTTCATAATGATTTCATTATAACACCGATGCTGTAATTTCATACTTTATCCCACCCAAAATTTTGATTTTATAGGTTGGCTATACTTTAAACAGCATAATATTTTGCATATTGGTTATAATATTTTTATGATTTTTCTGGTACTTCCGAGACTTTTCTGGCAATAATTTTTTTTGTTTTTTTCAACACCAAAGAAAATTCTTTTTTTCTTCTTCAACATTAACAGCCGCTTATTGTAAATAAGTAAATTAAGGACGGCATGGCGAATCGATTTTAACATTAACTGTTAAACCAATGATTGTGATACCAACTATTTAAAGTAAAATTCGAGCAAATTAAATTTAAGGTATAAAATTAATTTTTTCTATGACGTCTTATAAATGACATTAGTTCATTAATATACTATTAACGATTGTGGAATAATTTCTTTATAATTTTTTTAATTTAAGGGGCGAAGCATCATATTTTACCTGTTTCCATTTAATTGTAATTGGAGGTAAAAGTATCAATTAATTAATTACTAATCACGAATTAATTTATGATATTTACTAGAAGAACGCCGTGCTACAACCAAATATTTTGGCCAAGGTTAAAACATCGTATAGCAAAAATAAAACAAACAAAAAATCCAAGGTAAAACAACAAATCGTCCACGATCTAGGAATTGCACTTGCCTGAAGATGTGGCAACGTCGCACAGTGCAAGTGAAAAATGTCGGACGACACAGTGGCAGGTGCGCCTAAGCACGTAAATAAACATGACGGGACCAAGGTGCATTTATTTTTATTATTATTATCGTATTGTATGGACGGGAGGAAAGAAAGAAAAGGAGAGTAAGAAGTTGAAAGAGGGGAGACTACGACGTTTTATAGGAACGCATAAATGGTTCAAGCACCTGGACGAATTAAGCAGCTGACTGTGGATAATTTAATGTAAAAAGAAAGAAAATAAAGGTAAAAGTTTTAATTATGCCGCTTTGGAAAAGCTTTTCTGTGTGGCAGCATCAACTTTATAATTACAAATTTCATGAAACTTCTTAAAAATATAAAATATTTTCTTGGAATTCTTGATGTGTTAAATCGATTTCTAGTTTTCTCCATAAACTGGTGACTCATTGGTAAATTTGGAATGATAGCAATTGATACTGGTGACTAAATCTGTTTTCGGAATTTGATAATTGTCTATAGGTACTGTATTAATACAAACAGTCATGAATAAATAATAGTGCAAATGTTGTTTTCTTTAGGATATTTTATTACCTTTGTTTTGGTTTACAAAACAACAGATTATGTTTGTGATAATTTAAACGAATTATTTTAATGATAAAATAAAGCTAAATCAAAACCTTTTAATGTCTATAAAAATAAAAACACGATATTCTGGGAAATATTATGAAGCTTTTGTCAAAAATTATTTATAAATGATTAACAAACGCACACACTTTCTAAGTGTTTAAAGTTTGTAGGTAACAGGTTTCTAATTTTAGATTTATAAAAAACGTTGTGGGCAAATCTGAATAATATTGCGATATATCGAAACCGAACGAATTTGTTTTGTAATTTGTGCGCTTTAAAAAAAATTTAATAGCGTGTGAACAAAGAAATCAAAAATAACGCGCACTATTTTTGACATTTGTTATACCTATCTTAGACAAGGAAAAGCAACTATTTCCAAATTAACCTTCGAAATGACCGTGGAGACTTTTTACGAGTATCAGTAGGATAGAAAATCAAACACGTGTGTTAGTGCGTAAGCGATATCAAGGTGCATGTGTGTATACGTCATTTTGGTAGTAATTCTTTCAAAATATATGTGTTTTTATTTTTAATTATTCTTTAGGACATTTATATCAAGACTAAATGCGTTTTAAAATTTTTATTTTGAACGAAGAAACAAAAAAAATTGCGCAGTTTAATATTATATTTTTAAGATTTTTACTTACGTAGCAAAATTATAGTGATGTTTGTCAACTGTCAAACGGATGAAATCACTCCTTTAGAAAAATGACACGGCACTTTTTTGTTGAAGATTTTTTACAAGAAAGCGCGATTTAAAAAATGTTGATTTTGAATAGTGTCGTAAAGATAATGGGATATTATCCTATCAAACACGTGTGTTTGTGCGTGAACGTTATCAAGGTACTTACGTAGCAGAATTATAGTTACTAATGTCTGTCAGCTGTCAGACCGGATGATATCACAGAAAAACACTTCTATGGCAAAAATGACAGGACACTTTTTTGTTGGTTTTAAGTGAAACACAAAACACAGCTATTTTTTCTCTTTGCAGCACAGTGCAAGGCAACTCCTCTAAAAAGCACTGGCTAGAAAATTTTCGCACTAGCTCAAGTCGCACTCTAACCTCACTAATAGACGAAAGAAACGAAATAATTGCGAAAATGAAAAAAATTAAAAAATACTCTGTACTTTTGTGGGTATGGAACAAAACGCGTTTGAATCGGACGGGACGCACCCGTTCGGGCTGAGCGTTTCTTCAATGACTGGCGCAGTGCTGCCAGAGCAGATGGTCGGATAATCCGTATATATTCGTGGAAAGGGTGGGGGGAAGCCTCGAAAAATCCGTAAAAATCCGTTTTTGTCTAAATTTCGAAAAATTTCTTCTATAAGGGGGATTTTCGTGACAAAACATACCTTTCGTCAAAGAAAATCCGAAACATCTCAGAATTTTTCGGGGGAGTTTCAGAAGTTTGAATCTCTTCGTCAGTGATATAATTCTCGTCACTTTCCATTTTTCACAAAATAAAGTATTTTATATACAGATTCGGATATATAATAAACATTGACTTTGAGATCAAAATATTGCCACAATGCAGTTCAATGCACTGAACTGGAGTCAGTATTGGTTAGTCGTTACTATTGGTGGCATTGCGCCGCTTATATATTGGCAGCAATAACAACGTGTTATAAAACCTTAACAAATGATATGAAACTATCGTTCTCTTTGTCACACTCAATGAAAAAGCATATGTTTCGTATATATTCGGCGTTTAAGAACCCTATATTAAGAACACATCCTTTTTCAATCCGCTTTCTTTTTCTGTCTAACGTAGTAAAAAGGAAGAGGAATAGAAGCGTGACAAAGATGATCAAAAAACGGGGCAAAAATGATGTTTTTTTAGTATTAGTATGAAGCTATCTTAAAAATCCGTAAAAATCCGTATTTGATGAAAATCCGTTCAAAATCCGTTTTCAATTTCTCTAGACCTGGAAAATCCGTAAAAAACGGATAAATCCGTTCATCTGGCAGCACTGGACTGGCGGATTTTGACGATGTGATGCGAATGGCGGCCGAGGTGGGCATGCGCAGTAGGCGGAGTGGGGGGTGGACGCACGGTGCAAACGTGTGATCCTTTGTGTGGCGCATATTAAATTTATCGTGTGTCTATTTCGATGAGGGGACAATGCATGTTTGTGTGGCTTTGTTCGAGACCTAAAAACAATTTAAGGAATACTGGGTCCAGTTCACCAAGTTTGGTGGAAATCGTGATAAATCATTGAAAACCAAGATAAATTTGAAATCAGATTTTATCAATAATCCATAAAATAACATTTTAAATTGAACTTAGGAACAGTGTGTCATATTAGACAGTTTTTAGACAATTGTGGGAAATTTTATATAATACTCAAAACTTTTTTGTTATTTTAGATAATTCTAAGACGTCCCAAGTTCGGGCTTAAGACGATTTTAGGACATTTTAGACAGTACTATAAAAGTGTATCAGGAATCACAACAAAAAATATTAATTGTTTACCTTACAAATATTAAAATATATTGTTCCTTGTTTTATAGTTTTTGGACATAATAGAATAATGACATTTTACTTATAAAAAACATATTTTTTCCGTTACATCCTAAATTAATGGGTTTCCTCAGTAAAAAATTGTAACCTTGGGTCTATATTTTACTACCAAATTACGGTGCCAAATTTACTTCCTTCTGACGTAGTGTGCATCACGAGCCAGCCTACCACCACCACCACCAACAGCGGAGCAGAAAGTGCAGGATTGCCAGATTGTTAATTAAAAAAATCTTGTATTTTATGAATTTGAAATCATAAATTGTGCAAAAATGTTTATTAAAACTCTTCCCAAATGATTTGGTGGCTAAATTGTCACATACCTTTATTTAATTTTTTTTTGTATCATTAACAAATTTTAAACTTGATAATGTGTGATATTTTCCTATATATTTAAATAAAAAAAATTGTAATTTTTGATCAGAATCTTCAATTTGGCAACACTGCGAGAACGTGTGCCGAAAGTGTAGCGTAATCATGGCGGCCACACTCACACACATGCAACACAAGGCCCACGTAGATCCCAACAACATTCGTACTTGGAAAGTTGCCTTCCTCTCGTGAAAAAACGACCAAACGCTTTATTACAGAAAACCCAAAAGAAAGCCAAAAGAGGCAAGAAACCACATCTAAAAAATTGAGGTGGGCGAAGAAGAATTATAAGAGATCGCCAAGGCCTAGACAATGCCGTTGCACCAATAATTAACATCTCACTTCGAGAGAAAGATGATAGATCTGAGGAACAGGTAGATTTCAAAGATACAATAAGAATTTGGAAAGATTGCAAAACAAATATCCTAAATTTATTCATATTAATTCCTAACAAGAACAAAGATAACCAACACCTACATTTGTTAACATGAGTTTCTAGTTTGTTAATTTTATTTTGTAAAATTTTAACATACTTTAAAACTAGGGTTTGTAATTATTTTAATAAAGGAAAATATTTTACCGAAAGTTTTGTAAAGTTAATAGGTATGCAAGTTTGTAAGCATTTTGTTAATTTTTAAAGGTTACCAGATTATTTTGTTAAAAAAGTACACGTGATTTCAGGCAGTCAATCAAATATTTTCCACTGAAAATACGCATCAACCAATTCTACTGACTTCAGCGTCTGCAACTTATGTTTCTGCTTACTTTATTTTAATTCGTAACGTTTTTGTAACAACTGTACGTGTTTATAATATGGGTGAATTTCACGAAATGTCCCCCGATGATGTTACCCCGTGATATTTAATAAAACTAAAAGAGTTTGACCTACACTTTTATTGTGTTTTGATCTTTCGTAATTAAGTAGATATTACAGCTCAGGTTCCAGATTTTTAACCGCAATTAATTATTTTTTACAATGTTTTAAAAGTCCTATCCTCCGTGACGGTTACTCTTTCTAGGTTAACCTATATGTTTTCAAATATCTGAGGTAGTAAAAGCATACTAAAAGTTCACTAAGTTAATTAAACACATCCAAATCAATCGAATTAAATATAAAATATTATTAAAAATTAAAAGAAATAATTTTTATAACCATTTATGTAGGTGTTACAAAAATTGATTTTATCATCCGTGAATCTGTTTTTGCTTTAAATGTTATGCAACGGATGGCGCTTTAATCATTTTAAATAAGCAAAAAATTCCCAATTTCCAACAAATACTTTTTTTACTGGGTGTACAAAAAGGTTTGTAAAAATAAGGTCCTTTTTGAAAATTACAAGAATTATGGTTGAATTATTGACATAGAATTTTGTTATTTAATGTAATGTTATAATTGAAAACAATTTAATTAGTTAACAGTTGGTTGTAAACTATAAAGTTATGTGGACCTGGATTAACTTAAAATCTGGTTAATATTTGGTTAAAATTAACACATATTTTTTACTGTGCACATGTAGTTAATCAGTCAAGTGCCAAAAAGACACTTCATGCGCGTATTTGGTACAATATTTTTCTACAAGCAAGAAAACCTCGCAATTTTCATAATCAGTTTCCATTTTTAACTCTATTTTTTACAAGCGTGCGAAAAGTTGCTACTTTCCGCACAAAAAATCGTAAAAAGTGCAGGTTAATTTTTACGCAGTATACACGACAAAACCAAACAACATTTTGCATTATTTCAAGGCCACGCGTGACGTACACAAGACAATTTTTCATTTGAACAACAGAAAGAAACACCTTGAAAAGAACAACGCGCGAAAACCGTTTAAGCTACACAAAGAGTTCCTATATGAAATTAGATGAATATTTTAGTGAAAAAATAATAATAATAATCGTCTATTCATCTCACAGATTTTGATACATGTTTTAAAATTGAATAACTAACGTATCTAAAAAGAGACTCTAAATAGAAATTAACCGTACTTTTTGTTATCTAAAAAATTAATGTTTTGGCAACACACACACCACACCGAGAGTTCAAGCTATTTTTTTCGCTGTCTATTCTTGTTTTTGGAAACGCAAATAAAAACGGCGCACTGACCCCGTAGCGACCTTGTCGCATACAGTTCATCAGCTGATAGGTACGTGTGTTTTGATTTTTTGTTTTAGTAGGTTTGCACGTTATTTTTCAGGTTGCTGTATATTTTTTATCGTATACGTTTAGATATTACGACTTTTTAATTTTATTGGTTTTCAATGCTAAAACATGCATTTTTTGTGAAGGTCATGGTTCAACAGAAGCGTTTGAAAGGTTATCAGTGTTTTTGCTGATTACACATAAATTCATACATACGAACGTATATAAATGCATGTCTGAGCGATATTGAATAAATACTTTCTACGTCATACATTTTTTGTAGTTTTAGGTGCTATTCATATTGATTTTCAAGAAGTTTTTAATACTCCCATTTTTAAAACGTACATGTTTCTATGACACTAATTGATCTTTTACACTCTCTAAAAATGAATTAGTCAAAAAAACTAATTTAATAGTTATTAGTGGCTGCTTTTTCACTTGTACCATGGTTAATAATGGAATACCATGGTATCCCAAAATTTAACAGACAACTCTTATGTAAAATTGTCCCCTGAATCCGAAAATACCTTCAAAAATTATGAAAGTGGAGCAGTTTTTTAGATATAGTCAATTTCATATTAAATGGGAAATTGGCTATATCTTAAAAACTATTATACTTTTTTAATTTTTGACGGCATTTTCGGATTGAGGGGACAATTTTGCATAAGAATTGGCTGTTTAATTTTGGGATACCATGGTATTCCATGGTGAACCAAGGTACAAGTGAAAAGGTAGCCACTAATAACTATTAAATTAGTCATTTTTGACTAATTCATTTTTAGAAAGCATACACATTGACAATGGCGTTTTACTCACGGGCTGAAGATAGCAGCGGTGGCTTTCGGGCTTTTTAGTCACGAGCCGAAGTTAGCCGACAGTTTTCTTGACGCCAAATTTATATGCACGTTTTTACTAGTGGCGGCTAGTGGGTGTATAGGAGGGTGAAGCTATATGTATACATGAGATTAATTTTGTCTATATACGAATAAATTTCCTGGTCACCCGGAAGGTATTATTCTGAGACGCGTTGACCTTTTTTAAAATGGCCGATAGCCCTACTAAACCATTATAAATAAGAAAAAATAAACTAAAAAAACAAACAAGACA